GGTCTGCATGCCGAACTAGCGGCAGACCGGTTCCACGCCGCGGCGTACGCCGCCGGCCGCCGCAAATATACGGGTGGTGCCTGTGCACGGAGGGTGATGCGGGTAGCAGTGATGCGCGTGCTTGCGTTGCCTGCCGCGCAGGGCAAGGCGTGCCGGTAATGCCTGGGGCGGTGCTTGCGAGTGTGTGCTCATGGCGCGGAATGGCGGGTGAGCGTGGCGATGAGAGGTCTGTCTTGCCCTGCAAGGGGGGGGTGGGTTGCGATGGTGGTGGTGGCAGCGCGAGTGGGCGCTGGGGGGGAGCGAGAGCGGCAAGGCGCGGGACCGACCTGGACAATCGATTTCCAGGGCGACTTTTGCTTTTGGGGTCGCCCCCGATATCATGTTTTTGGGGGCTCTTTTTGGCATTTCGGGGGCGAAATCGCCCGCCGCCCCCGTGTATTTTTTCCCCTGGCTGTTTCGTGGCAATTGAAAAGCAACAAGGTAGGCCTAGCGAGGGTAATCACAGCACATGAGTGAACTGTGAGGCATGGTGAATTCCCCTGCTTCTTGTGTTCACTCATGGCACCACACAAACTTGTTTGCCTTAAAAGTAGCGATAGAAAATAACGATATATGATAATCAGGGAGTATTGTATATTAAAATTTCAGTGATAAACAAATGAAATCTTAGTAGTTAAAACTATTCCTTATGTCATTTCAACATTTCACAGGTCACATCTGATGGAAACCCTAAAGTAATCGACATTATAGATACAACTGGATCTGGTGATGTTGACACCAGTACAGTAGTTGAAGCAAATGATGGTGTCATTACTGGATCAACAGGAAGAACTTTAAAAGTATGTAAGACATATATTTTAGGATTCATTGTTTGCAATTTACAGTATATAATAAATGCAAATAACTCTTAATGATTACATGGTCATGTGATACCTGTAAAAGTTCAGATATTTTATTTTCATGAAGTGCAATTAAGATAGTTGCTAAACATGCATAATTGCAATAGCCTGAATAGGTATATAAAAGAGTATTAAAAATTTTTCAGAAAATCTCAAATAAATGTTGTTTTGTAGATTCCCGAAGCATGGGCGAACCCTACTGGAAAGTACCACATTGGTGTTAAGTATGCATTTGATCTGTACCCAAAAACACTCAAAGAAAGACTTACAAAAGAGTATAAGGAAAAGGTCTGGGACCCTGCTCATAGACTTGCGTTGGCTGATGCCAATCGGAAATTAGAAGCATTTGATACTGCCCATGAAAACCAGACATTGGTAAATTTTTGAAATATTATTTTATGCATATGATATTTTGACCATTATTCTTATTATATAATAAAACTATTAATAATTATACATTTTATATTTGAGAAATATAGTTGCATTTAAGTTATATTGGTATTTATCAATTTAGTTTTTTCAAACGTGGAAAGAATAATCTTCTACCCCAGACAAACAATCACGAGATTGTCTTGATGAAAATTAATATCGTGATCTTTATATTATGTGAATACTGGTATATGTGTGACTTGCCTTTTTTTCTAATGTATTTTTTACAAACATTTCAGGAGTTTGCTGACAAATTACAGAAAGATGACCTGCAAGCACAACTGGATGCTCTCACACAGCTCGAGAAAAAATTATCTTATGGTGGCCCTGTTTACGACTGTGTCGTCTTTCATGATGGAAGCACATATAGGTTAGCATTCAAATCTAAACTGGTATTAATATAGTTAAAGTGATTACGTCACCGTAAATAGTAAAAGTAAAGAAATATATTCGCTTTTTCACAAAATGTAAGTAATTCTGTTTACTTTTTATGGTTAAATTGCTGCATTATACTTCCTATTTTACTATACTGTTCCATGTAAACATACACTTGTGACTCATATAGCCCATAGCAAGCAATTAATGTCAGGATCATATTTATCAAATCGTCCAGGCTTTTTTGATTTTTAACTAGTTGAGAAACAATCTTATCGGGTAACAATTTGACGATACGTTTAGTCCCGTTAGTACTTACTTATAATGTAAAAAAATGACTTTTTTTTTAAACAAATATACACCATAGAAAATTCGTGACGTAGTCAATTTAATGTATAACAGTCTTATCTGGTGAACATTTTTTTCTTCTTCTAATTATGCATCATGCATGTAAATTTGTAATAACAAGATTTTTGGTCACATTGCAAAACTTTAGAATGTCATGTCTTGTTTTAGAGATTTTTAATTTTTCTCAGCATGTAATTTTATCTATGTTATAAATAGGTTTATGTGTGAGTTGAAGAGATGGGAGTTACTAAACTACAAGCCTGTGAATGTCTATAGCCAAGCAAATTTTGCAATTATGCAAAATCATTTACGCGGGGATACGATGTTTCGAATAATTCAGTGATTTGTTTCTTCTATCAGGGCATGTGTTGACACCAGTGAGACAGGCGATCTCACATCATGTGCGCTCCTTGCCAACTATAGAGAGGAGCTCAAATTTTCTACACTAAGTGCTTCAGGAATGATGAACTACAGTGTTAATATATACAACGATGGCAACCTACTAGAAGTTGTGACTAATTGTGGTGAGTGTGCCAATGACCATATTGTCTGAATGTATAGGTGAATTTCATAGTCGAAAACAATATGCTCAGTAGATATATCAGGAGTATATTTTAAACCATTTCGTTATTATCTATTCCTGCTTATATTTAACCAGTCATATTTATTTGCTAGTTATTCATTCAAAGTCATTTGACATTTCTTATACATACACATTTAAATAAACGGTCGTCACATTTTTAACATTGATGTAGTTTTTCACACTTTATAATCTCAGGTTCGCACGGTACACACGTAGCCTGTATCGCAGCTGGCTACTTCCCAGATGAGCCTGAGAAGAATGGTGTTGCTCCAGGAGCACAGGTGGTTGCCATCAAGATTGGCGACACTAGGCTAGGATCTATGGAAACTGGTACCAGCTTAGTGCGAGCTGTAAGTAGTTCGATCTTGGTCAAGATTGATAATACTTCCTGCTATGTATTTGTTTGCTCGTTTATGGCTTTCTCTGGCAGTCTGGTTGGATATAATTTTAACCGTGGGGCTTGTATTTAATTATAGGCTTCTTCTATGTAGTTTCCCGCTAAGAAATAGCAAGCATTTTGTTGTTGTTATCCTCGAAATAGGTCGATATATAAACACAAGAACGAGTCAATAAACGTGTCAGGTGAATATTTACATATTGAAGGAGAAGTTGTGCTATCATTTTTTGTAACAGAAATACTCATTTATAATAAATGCATTAATTACAATTTAAATAATGGGTATATTATGTCGAATGCTATGAGATAAATGCTCGCTTTTGGACATTTCAGATGATCAAAGTCATGGAGTTAAAATGTGATCTGGTGAACTTTAGTTATGGAGAGACAGCAGCCTGGCAGAACTCGGGGTGAGGCATAATTTTATGTATAGGAATAGGACCTGAGTGTATTTGGTATTGTACTGGATGTATTAACCCGTTTGAAATTTTTAAGTTGATAAAAGGGGCAGCTTCAGTACAATTTACATTATCCACTTAAATTCCATCAGTGTTGAAAATGTAGTTTATGCATATATAATAATCATTTTTATGCATTCAAATTTTAGTTAAAAACATAGACAACAGGTAACGCATACTGTGTGGATGTATTGGTGTTTATACTAAACTTTAGCATTGAAGCGGAGAGATTGAAAGAATGCCTTCTGATGGTTAAACCAGTTTTTATAGCCGGTTAACGCAATCTTGCTGCTCTGATACTTTTCGCATTGACTGTCATCCTAAAAACAAAGAATCGGCTAGAAAGGTTAATTAATTTCGAGCCATTCGAAATAGTCTAATTCTTTCGTGCTTGCATATTATTTCCAGGCGCATCTGTGATATAATGAGTGAAGCCGTTCGAAAGTGTGGCGTAATATTTGTGTCGAGTGCAGGGAACAGCGGACCGGCCCTGTCCACGATCGGAACACCAGGAGGAACGACATCGGCTATCATAGGTGTGGAGCAGTTTATCGCAGACCTCATCGCAATGTGAAATTCTGCCTTAAAATTTCCACAGTGAAATGCTTATGTGTACTTACTTTGAGGTGCCACAATGAGAGAACATAACGAGAGAATTAAAAAAAAATTCTGCTTCATGGCTTGTGGAGAACATTTTGCAGTGTTTTAATATTGAAACCGTGCTCTTAGATAGTATATCGTGGGGAATATTTTGCAGTGTTTTAATATTGAAATCGTGCTCTTAGATAGTATATCTGAACAAGGTTATGCCATAAAACTTACGATGCAAAATGCCGAGAGTGTTTATCATCAGGTATCATGACTGCGTCCTGTAAGTGTTAGCGTGCTTCATCATCGTCTATGAGCCACGTGCGCGCGTGACATTCGGACCACACGGCTAGTTGGGCTTGAGTGATCGGGGATGCTTTACAGGTGTTGGAGCTTACGTATCGCCGGAAATGATGGCTGCTGAGTATTCGCTCCGTGAAAAGCTCCCTGGAAATCATTACACGTGGTCGTCGAGGGGACCGTCGTAAGTTTCCTTAATGCAGAGAGATGGTTTGTATAAGGGTGCGATTTCGTGTGCGTGTAGTAGATGGATTGTCATAGTGGAAAATTGCATGAGCACAGATTTTGGAGCTCGAGGTTAAACTTAGGTTTGGAGTTTTTTTGGAATAACTCGCAGTGATGATGAAAATGTTTAGATTCGTTTTGATGGATTGGATAAGAGTGCAATTCTTGTGCATGTGGTGTATTGTCGTAGTGGGAAAGTGTATGAGCACAGATATCGAAGCTTGAGGTTAGATTCATGTTTGTAGGTTTTTTTCTAGAATAACTCGCAGGGATGGTGTAAATGTTGGTCTTCTATAGCTGAATCTACTGAGAAAGTGTCTGATTTGGTGTTTTTGTGCATTGCTTCAGTCCGGACGGTCACCTGGGCGTGTGCATCTCAGCCCCTGGTGGCGCGATTGCCTCCGTTCCAAACTGGACCTTGCGCGGTTCCCAGCTGATGAATGGCACATCCATGAGCTCTCCGAATGCCTGCGGTGGAATCGGTAAGTCACGCCCATGTTCTTCTTCTTAGCATTGCGCCATAGCAAATGATTTTCTTTAGGATAGCAAATGAGGATGATTTTCTAGCAATATGGATATGTGTATTACCTGTTTGTACTTTGGTCAGCATATCTGTGGTAAAAAAGCGTTTTTTTTAACTTAGGGGGTTACAATGATGATATTTCATTTTTAAAGTAGGAAATAAGAGCTAGACGTATATGCTCAAAACTGTATCACTGTGATTATGACTGTAATATTAAATTATTTTATAATGGACATTATTAAAATGGTTATTGTGAGTTTTTTGGCTCAGAAAAACTAAATATAGCTGAATATAGTTCTCACCTTGACAGTGGCATATCACTGATTATTACCAACCTATTAAAGATATACCACCCCATTAACTGATTATACCACAGATTGTTATGTGCAGTTATAGCATAGAAAATATGGATTCTTACCACATCATACCAGCTCGATATATCGTATTGCGACAATCCTAAAAACAACATGGCGTCTTCAAACAAGTCAATAATTAAAACAAAAAAGGCCGTGCAATTCTCATGTGGTACAATGATTATTACTTTTTTAATGTCAATAATTCAGAGCACTTTCTGTCATTGTCTATTCCCATGTTACTCGTTAAGCTTCTTTATTACAGACTTTACGCACACGAGGTATTTCAGTTACTACACTGCTGCTTACGCTAGTATGCAACCGGTTGCGACGGCTATGCCATTCACTGCCCACTTGCATAGATGTCTCGCGCTACGCCATCGAGACAAGTCCCGAGACGCATCGCAACACCGGTAACAGAAACAGAACGCCAAATTGTAATCGTGCAATGATTTATATGGGATCATTCCGTGCTTTACGAAGGTTTAAGCATTTTATCGTTACTCTAGACAATTGCTGTTACTCAAGCAATAACGGTAGCCGTAGGTATCATGAAAGTGGGGAAAACACAGGAAAACTCTCGCAATAATTACTTTAACGTCTTTTGTCATTATCGTATACACACATATATATGTCCAAATAATAAGTTGCTCTAGCAACTTGGAAAGGTCTTGATATACTACATGAGTTTTTATGCCATACCATGCGACTGTTTTTCCTGAATGTGATTTATAATTCTGCTTTAATCATCATCATATATATGTGTATCTGCTTCAGCTTTGGTGCTGTCAGCATTGAAGGCTAGAGGTGTGAAGTATTCTCCGTACAGCATACGTCGTGCTGTGGAGAACTCTGCTGTCATCCTGCCGAATGTGGAGGTGTTTTCTCAGGGCCATGGTCTCCTGCAGGTTAGTTGTACTCAGCTGCTTACTGTTACTTTGTCACTTTTAAACTTTGTTTCCCTTGTTTCATGTGTGTTAGAATCTGAACATTCAACGTCATTTTCAATTAAATTTTGTTATTGTCATACAACCAGAAAGTGTTACAATTTCTGCGTCACAGAAAAGTTGCTTTATTTGTTGTGACCAATATTTTTGGTACAAAATGATAGTATAAAATGTAAGCAATCTATATATATTATTTTTAAAGCTGCTTTCCCCAGAAATCCACAAATTATCTATTCAATTTGGTGTTCTCTGCGAGCATTTTGTGCATAAGTTTTTTTTGATCAGATGGATCCAACACAAAAGCTTCCTTGTTCGAACATTGCATTCCGGTTTACAATGGGAAAAGCTTCCCACACTTTTGTGTGGAGTGATATTGACACAGCGGCTATGTGTGATTCGACCTTTATATGTATAAACCTGTGTGTTGTTAGGGCATGCAATATAGTACGTAATTAAGCCTTATATATTTGCCTCTTATAATTTTACTAATATCTATTAACGAAATAAACTTGTGTTAAGAAGAGGCCTGGACAGCCTCTACGGGGCACAGCTCCACTGTACTTACCTTACGTGGGCTTAATATACATATTCTTGGATGCCATATTATGCAAACGTTCTGGTGATGAAATGCTATACAAAGCTGGCAATGAATTACTAGTTTCGACTTGTGGTAGTCTTTGTCAGGTTTTTCTAACTTTTTACTGCTGGAAAACCCGTGTTTTCAGCGTGTTCTCTCCTCCTTATATAGCCTCGTCCCCATGTGTGAGGGGGCGCAGGTGGGCACAAGTGGGCGCTAATAGGGGGCGCAGGTGGGCGGAGGTGATCTCTAAAAGGTGCAGGGGGCGTTGAAAGGGGTTGCTAGTGTGCGCTGGTGGGTGTATCGCGGTGAGCGCTCTTGATCGCGTGATCGTTGGTGGGCACAGGTGGATGCTACCATCGAAAAAGTGTTTGTGACGTATGTGGAGAGCAATTTGGGGTCATTACTGTCTGTATACATGTCATGAAATGTGACTGCAAGGAATTTGCCGTAATCTCATTGTCGTGCATTTTCTCAGGTCGAGAAAGCGTTCAATCACTGCGTGGAGCATGCAGACTTGCTTGAACGTGACATGAACTTCTCGGTTATGTGCAGTGATGGCCGAGGCATCTACCTGAGAGATCTCGTTGCGGTCAGCAAACCACTAGAGACCGTTGTCAGCATAGAGCCCACATATTTTGACCTGAACTCAGTTGGTAACTATACGATAAAATAAAATAAAATAAATATCATATGTTAGTATTGAGAACTTTTTCATGTTGGATGCATTAAACTATGTTGAAGGTTATGTGATTGTGGCAATGGTGAAGGCATATTTATAAGCTGCTCTCACCACATTAGTGAGAATATGTACAGAGTTTGATGTATATTCAAATTGTATCAATCTCTGAAAACATGTAACTTGTCAGAATTATATCTTTTACAGTGGGGCAAACTCTTCACTAATGTTTGTGGTACATTTGCTTTGTATTTATGTCCATCACTGCTCATGAAAAATGAACACTCATGCTCACATCATATGCTGTAACACTGTTAGTTTACCACGTACGGTAGTTGTTGTCAATAGTTACGTGTTACTTTCTGTACACAGATGCCCGCGATAAGATCTCATTCTGTATGAGATTGAATTTGATTTGCAACGCGACCTGGGTGAGCGCTCCGTCTCATCTGCAGCTGATGAACATGACAAGGATGTTCACAGTAAAGATAGATCCCACAGGGCTAGACATCGGTGTTCACTATACAGAGGTACGTGTATGTGCATGAACCGAAATATACTGATGTAACTGTTTGTCAGGTTGTGTGTGCTAAGTTAGATCTCTGTTGGTAAATGCTAGGTTTGTGTTTTTTTAGTGTTTAAATAAGATTCAAATTTTCAGCTAGTTTTAAATAAAATGCCTTTGCAATTGTCACCTGTTATAACAATGTGACTGTTTACAGATTCAAGGGTATGACATCAGTAATCCAAGCAAAGGACCTGTATTCAGAGTTCCTGTGACAGTTATTATACCGATGAGGTATGTTTATTAGATGATGTTAAAGGAACTCTGTGTTCATCAGGACTTTATTAAATTCAATTACTTGTTTATTACTTTGACATATCTAAACATGACTTCAGGTCTAATTAGCATGTAAATCGAGGTGTTAGAGCTCTCAACCTGTTTAACTAATTGTCATGATATTTTTAATCTATCGACAGGGTTGTGGATGACAGCAGGCATCGGCTGGAATTCGAGGAACAGAACTTTAAGCCAGGCCAGATCAGGAGACATTTCATTTACGTGCCAGATGGAGCCACTTGGGCAGGTGAACACACACAGCCTAACATGCCACTCCTGTTCATCCCAAGCTAAGGTTTCCAGACATATAATTTGGAAGTGGGCTGACTGTCAATTTCGTGGGGTTCCTGTCCAGTGGGATATTTAATTAATTGCAGAAATGTAAATGATTGGAAAAATGTATTTATCAGTGTACTAGGGCAGGTCTGGTGTGTGTTAGGCCACCGTGCAACTCTATTTTCAATGGTTCGTTAATGGTGTCTTTATATAGTGAGTTATTCAATAGTAATGACTGTAGAAGTGAGGCATTCCCCTTTCACAGGAATGATAGGGTATCACAATACACCGAAAAGAATGGAAAAAAAGAGGCAAAATTGTAACTTAGGCGTCCTTACCCGTAGAACATTCAACGATCCGAGGTTTTCAGTGGGCGAGATGCATGCTCACTTGCCAACCGACCCACCTACGGTCGCCCGCAAAAAAACGCGACTGCAACCGGAAAGCAGAATGTGGTCAACTTTCCTCCGCGGAGTGTGAGAGCAGGGTTTGCGTGTCGTTGCAGTGCTGAGGATGCGCGTGCGCGACAAGGACAAGTCGTCGCGGTTCGTCTTGCACGCCGTGCAGCTGGCGCCACAGACGACGCACAAGGACAACGAGTTCTACAAGTTCGTCAACCTGTCCGACCTCGGCGAGACGACGCAGAGCTTCAACGTTCGGGTGAGTGCGTCGCTACCGCCGCCAGCGTGGCATCGTATACGCCTCCCCCCCCGTGACAAGGTTTCCCCGTGGCAAAACGCCCCCCATGGCAAACGTCCCCCCCCCATGGCAAACGTTCCTCTCCCATGGCAAAACGTCCCTCCATGGCAAATGCCCCCCCCCCTTCCTGGCAAACATCTTCCCATGGCAACCGTCCCCCTGGCAAACGTCCCCCCCTCCTGATGGCACACGTCCCCCATGGCAAATGCCGCCCCCCCATGACAAAAACGTCCCCCTCATGGCAAACGTTCCCCCATGCAAACGTTCCGCCCGCATGGCAAACGTTCCCCCCATGGCAAACGTTCTCCCCCTCCCAATTGCAAAGGCCCCCCCCCATTGCAAACGTCCCCCCTCGATGTCACGTGTGGACGGGAGCGTGGCTAGCAGTACATGTGGCGTGTTGCGCGTGAGGGTTTGAATTTTGTGGGTAAATGTAGTGCAGTTTGCCATAAGGGAGATGTATACGATGGATGCTACACCAGCCTGTAGATTCTACTCTAGCGAGTCATGAACGCGATCAGGAGTGTCATAATATAGATTATATATAGAATATATTTATAGAATCTATATAATGACACTCCTGATATTATGACACTCCTGACGCGATCACATCGACGTGGCAGTTTCCGAAGTTTCGCTCTTAGGTCGATCGTCCCGCGTTTGCAACGGGGAACGGTTTGGCCTATCTATCTATCAATAGGCTCGGTTTTGCTCATGCGCGCGAGGTCGCGGACCGTAGGTCGTGGCCGTAAATTCCTGTACGAGTAATCGAGTTGTGTTTGTTCTGGATGTTCGTGAGTCGGGGTGCCAGAGTTACTCGGGGGTTTTCCCGGCGTGTGAAACGCGAGAGTGGCCGCAGCTCCTGCATAGTTGGCACCACGGCGTTGCAGCAGTCCTCTACTGGGTCCAGCCTAGCAAACGGGAGGATGCTCGTCTCGATATCTGGAAAGCTGGCATACCAGCTCGCCCCGCACAGGACGGTGAAAAACGCCCCATGTAATTTATTTCGTTAGTTTACACTGCATTACTGCCTATTTGGTCTGCACGTGGCGTGGGTTCGTATTTTTTTAGGGGGTTGTTAAAACTAGGCTAAACTGCCACTGACATATTAGCATGTTATGTAGATGTGTTGTCACGCTGCCTAATTGAATGATGAGAGTTCTAATTACGTTTACATGAGATTCATCGAAAGGCTTTGGTTGTTTGACAATTACTCGTGATTAGTTTGCACGCATTGATTCCAGATGCGTCGTGTAATGGATGATAGCAATTTCATTGCAAAAATTTGATAGGTTTGTTTAGTAGGAGATTATTTTCTCAGTGGCTTAGACGTTTCTCTTGGATGCACAGTGCACACACAGAATGTGTTCTTGCAGAGGCATATTTGGGTAATGCATTGTGAATTTGTTAAATGAAAGAGTTGGATTTCTTGCGTACATGAGCAAGCATCCTGCTTTTCAACGTTTTTACAATCCAGAGGATATTTTTGTGATAGCAAACAAAAAGAAATCCATCAGCGATGCGAAGCTTTTAGTTGGTGGATAACGGCGAAGAAATCTGAGAGGCGCCCGGAAACGCATTTTTTCTGTGCATAATTTATGAAAATAATTTTAATAGTTTTCTTTGTTAGTTTCAATGTAAAGGTACAGCCTTTACAAACCATAACTGATTAATTACTACAGAAGAATATTGAGAGATTTTTTATCTGGTGGCTAGATTGAAATGCTGAATTGTTAGGAGTGGTTAAATAGGTAATTGTAAAGTTCTTTTATCCCACCATGAATAGGTTGTCAGAGGAAGTTAGCTAGTCAAAGCAGCAGTATATAACGAATAACAATAAATAAAACAATTTAATAAAGCATATAATAACGAATGCGCGTAAGCAGCACATAGTAGAGGACTAGAGTAGACACAAGAATCCTGGAAACTTTGTTGGCACTGATGAACACCCTCGGAGGTATATACGAATATTTCGCTGCAACATCGTTAAATTTCCAGCGCTGGGAGCAACCCGTGTCCGGTGTCGTGTGCGTGGCATGGATATTCCCATGCGCGCGTTTGCCTTGCAAGTGGGTCTTTATTAGCTGCCCGCGACAAGGTGGCAAGTGCGGCGCTGCGGCATTGCGGTCTACACCGCCCATCGCATCACGTATTCGGGGCTGTGGCTGCTGCGGGTAATTGCTGGCGGACACTCGTCACAGTTCTGTCCTCCGCGGTTTGTCGCAGCGCGTAGCCGGCGGAGTCGCGCACGCGGTCTCCACTCCCGCGGGTGACATAATTGCCGGCTTTAACATAGGCTCTCGCATGGAGAGGGCGCGCGCCTACGCAGCCGACATCGGAAGCGACGTGATTGCCTCGGTTACGGCTCTCATTTAGATTTGATGTTAGTCGCGTTAGAGATGCAAGGCATTTGCAGACATTTGGTTTCGTCAAGATGATGTTCTATTGCAATTAAGCACGCACACGTGTACACGCACACGCACACGCACGCACACGCAAACAGCTGCGCGCACACGTACACGCACACGCACGCACACGCACACAACGCACGCACACGCACGCACACGCAAACAGCTGCGCGCACACGCACGCACACGCACGCACACGCAAACAGCTGCGCGCACACGCACGCACACGCACACAACGCACGCACACGCACACAACGCACGCACACGCACACAACGCACGCACACGCACACAACGCACGCATACGCAAACAGCTGCGCGCACACGCGTACACGCGCACGCATACGCACGCACACGCACGCACACGCACGCAAACAGCTGCGCGCACACGTGTACACGCGCACGCACATGCACGCACACGCACACAACGCACGCACACGCAAACAGCTGCGCGCACAAGCACGCACGCACACGCACGCACACGCAAACAGCTGCGCGCGCTTACACACAGATACGTACACGTGCGGGTTTCCTCGCACCTCTTCCATGTGCTTACAGTTGGTTCATGTCCCTTATATTTCTTATAGCCACTTTATTTCATGGAGTAGCCCCACAAATTCTCCAACCATTCTCGTTCAAGGCTTTGTATGCCGTGTCGGAAAATTGCTAGAACTTTTTAGATCCCTGCTTATTGCATTAGAGAGAGAGAGAGATAGAGATAGAAATAGTGGTTGCGTTGCTGCTGGTTCTGAAATGACGGCCTAGGATATAAGAGCTGTCCACATTTGCACATGTCGCACCTATACCTATTACAAAGATTTGTACGTGTCTTACTCTAAAACGTTAAAATGGCACAATTAAAATATCATATAAAAACACATACACTGCAGTCCTATTAACATAATTGAGATATTCGGTTGAAAACTTCTTGATAATGATGAATATGCAAGTACTGCAAATACCATTGGAAGAGCGTTGTCGATGAAGCTCCCTTAGTCCCGTCATCACGCTAGTGGCAGTTCATACCTCGCGTAGCTGCAATGCCATAATATATGCACTTCAATTATATGAGTCATGCGATACCCGTTGCATTTCGTAGCGTAACGTTAGACAAGCGCATCCTGATTATGGATCGGCAAAATGCATTAGTCGTTTCGCTGCCGGTGCGAATGCGTTGATTAATACTAGAAGCAATGCGTGTCAGTAGGGTGCGTCTTATTCTTAATGAATCGGTTTACGGATCCACCGAGGTAGAAACAAAAGCGATGATTGTAAAGAAAATAAATTGGAATTGAGCAACTATTTTTTTTACCAGTGATGATTGAGGAAAGATTGCTGGCTAATAAATAAAGATTGCTCTGTTGCTCAGCTGAGATTTAATGATGGTGGGAGCAGATGCTAATCACACTGCGGTTTTATTTTTTCAGCGACTCATTGTAGGAAATTGATGAAAGTAATTTTTATCTTTATTTTTCATTTCGACTACCAACTAAAGAGATGGAAAAAACTATAAACGCAGTAAGAAAATGTAAAGGTGCCAAGGATGAGGGGGGAGAGTCACTGTGATACTGTATAGGGGAAATGATGAAAGTATGGTGTAGGACCTACATGTCGTACTGACATTAGCCTCGTTCACACGAGACCTCGTATTTATGAAATACGGTATTTGCGAAATACCGAATCTGAGACAAATACGCGGCCGAGCGTTCACACGCTGATTCGCGGCTCCAGAAATACGGTATTTGCGAGCTGCGAGCTGCTTTAAACAATCAAGCGAACAATGCGAAATAAACAATGCAATGCGCACCAACTGCCGATAAAATACGTAGACTGGTCCGCGCTCGACAGTTTTACTCGCGTTACACTGGAACTGTCGAGCGCGGACCAGTCTATGAAATACACGGCTTCAAAAATCCGGTATTAGCGCACACGAGGACATGCGCGGTCCAAGAGATCCGGTATTTCTCAAGCACGGCAAACCGGGGTCTGGGAAGCCGCGTATTTACATCAAATACCGGATCTGTTTAGATACCGTATTTCTTGGACCGCGCATCTTGCCTCGTGTGAACGCTAAATACCGGATTTCTTGCTACGTGTGAACGCGGCAATAGCGTCAGTCCTCATCATTTAATCTCAGACATTCTGTCAGCATGTTTTTACTATCGAAGTAGTAAGTTGGTACTTCTCACAGAAACCATTAATAGATACATCCGTGCTGAGTGAAAATGGGAAATGAGAACACAAATAAAAACGTGACAGGAGTCCTGTGGCGCGCACGTGGAAGGATGTTACTGCTTGGGTGGGAGGAGGCGTTTATGATCGAAACGTATTCTAACTATAGCTACATGGCAGTGTAGGCCTACACACGCTGACCAAACCAACCGCGCTAGCATAATAATGTTCGCTATACGAATAACCACCTGCGGCCCGTTACTAGAAATCAAGAGCTAATGATACCTAAGTATTACTAGCACTGGATATTATAAATAGTCATGGCTTTCGTAAGTCAAAAATGTCAACTTTTGCACGACAGTTCTTTTTAATGAGTGTTCAGA